TTGGGGATTTAAATCCCCAACTTTTTAAATTTCCCAAGGTTAAGAAACACTGGTCTATACATACCCATTGCCAATTTATGACATAATACGTATGGGTGGATCCTCTCTATCTTTGGAATTTCACCTCCCATGACCTAAAAGGCCCCTAGCTCTGGGGTTTTCATCTTGATGAAATGAAACTGGCTGCAGTGCTGCACCTTGTGACAGGTAGCTTGATTCCAAACACAAGGCTACAGATTAAACCAAGGAGCCAGATGATAAAATACAGCAGCCTTGTCCAAAGTGGAGACCTTCAGATGTGCTGGGACTCCAAACGATCTCATTCCAAGCCAATGTTTTCTGGGAATTTTGGTGGCTGAAATTTAAACACATGAGGGGTGTCTTACAGTAAGTTATGTTCTTTATTCTTCCCTTTGTGTTAGTGCTTTGACAGAGTCAGCTGAGATGTCACATTCCCATGACGCATTTCACAAAAGAACATCCAGATCATTTCAATTCCATGCTCTATTGAGAAGCCAAGCTGTCTGTCACGGAGAGTCTGTTTTGACAGAGGTAGAGGTAGTCCTTGGGTTGTAATAGCTCCTTTGATTTGGCTTCCAGTAAGAAGGCAGCAATGGTAAAACATGTACATATTACTGCAAAGACAACTACCTGGGCATGCCCATGAGGTCAACAGGATTCAGGTGCCATTTGAAAGGGAGTTTACCTTTGTAGAAGAGACAATTGCAGTGATAACCATTAGAAGCAAATTATGTCTGGACTATTTCAGTTCGTGTTGCAGATTCATGTGCATTGGGTTGAGTAATCGTGCTGCTGGGGAAGCTAAGTTAGAAATGTTATAATAAAAAGGGATACAGCCCAAACATGGCTTCATACATTCTCACAGCTTCTTTCACCAAAGTTTCTTGTAGAAAATACTGTGGTTTAGCTCACATGGTATGCTAAGTCATAAACCATGATTTACAGAACAAAATGGTTAGGTTCCATCATCAACCTAAGCAAAAACCACACAAGCTATATTATGATTCAGTGGAATAGCACCTGATGTACCCTATATGGGGTCCTTTGAACATCATAATTCAATAAAAATAAATGTTAAACAAATTAAAATGGCTCAAAGCTCTCACTAGCATCACATCTGAGTATATTCCAGTGTTTCTTCATGAAATCTTGCACAAAGTGTTCTTATGGGAGACTGAGTAAGATTTAGGGGAGAAATTCCTAACTCTTGGAAGACTTTGGTGAATTTTAATAAAAATACATGGGACAGGGGTGTACATTACTTTAAAAGACTCCTGGTCCGTGGGTTAGTACAATGAATATCCAGAAAGAGCAGTTTTCAGGCAAGTGTACAGACTCCAAGGACACAATCTGAGTATTTGTGAGCTAGGAAATCCCAACAGGTTTTTGCACATTTTAGCACTTATAACATGGCATTCTTGGATGTTCTTTAAATAAAAAAGCAATGTTGTAAACTTGTTAAAGGAAAGCAAGTTTATTGTGCTAAGTGCATGTGACCTAGGCAAATACGCACATACACACACAAACGTAAACACAAGCTTGGAGATGTTATGTCGTAGAACCATCAGTAGTCTCATTCATAATCTCATCGGGAGATTTCATTTTAGCAAAATGACATCTGCCTACTCCTATTGACGTGGGTTGGTGGGGAAAACAATTCCATTAAAAAATGGAAAATCTGACAGCTACAACAGCATGCAGAGCTAAGAAGACTCAACTATAAGAGCCCATCCTCCTTTATTTATCATTTTATGACATTTTGGAACTCTCTGTTCTATGTTCAGTGAAAGTAGGACACACTCCACTCCCATAGGTTTGTCCCTGCATTTTCAATTATTCCTCTGATTACCAAACACATGTGTCTAATCTATGAGGTCCAGCTTGGGTGTTCTCCTATTTCTTTCAAATTGTTCCTGTTTCTTCATGCTTGCCTTGACATGCAGGGCCCAGCCATGGAGGCTTCTTGGTGTTCTGCTTATGTAATTTCATGTGACAGGAAGAACATGGTATCCAGTGTTTAGAAAATTGCTCCCACAATCATTTCCAAGAATTGCAGCAATCTCCCTCAACCTGATGCACTCTAGATGTATTGGACTATTACAGGTGTTATAGTGAAATACATCTAGAGCACTGTTTCTCCATCTTAGCAACTTTAAGATGTGCGGACTTCAACTCCCAGAATTCCCCAGCCACACATCTTAAAAATGCCAAGATTGAGAAGCACTGATCTAGAGGATACCTGGCTGGGTTACATTCTTGAGTTCTGTTCAAACCCTGTGATAAGTAAAATGTGGGCAAAGTTGACTTCTTTCAAAAATGTATGCTTGCTTTCTCAAACCTGGCATTTTCTGCACTTGTTGGGAATTCATAATTTCCCATTATTTCCAGCCAGCATGGCCAAAACCTCTGATGTGGAGATCCTGAGAAGGCATGCTTCCTGGGTATTTGGGGGATTGCCCCAACAGATCTGGAGACGAAATCAAAGTTAAGCTTTGCAAAGCCCACTATAAGACAACATTTTATTTCAGCAGGATATCTCCCAGTCAACATCCTCTTTCCAAATAATAATTGCTAAATGCAGGTTGTAAAGTAATTTCTACACCTTCAGTATCATATAAGTGAATATACAAAAAGCGACAGCTATTTACAAATATGCAATTCTCTCAGTAGTATTTATAAACTACGAAAAAACGACTTCAATTTTTATGATAAAAAGGAAGCACGTTCCCAATATTAATGCTAAAATATTTCCATCAATGCTATAGGCAACAAAAAGGAAAAGGAAAAGAAAAGAAAACAAAACCCTAACCCCAAACACATTTACTACCACCACCACAAAAAAAGTGTAAATTGATTGCATTAATAATATTACTACTTTGGGAGGAATTGTTCTTGCAAAGAAATGCTGCAGTGTGTATAGTGAGAAAGAGGCTGGGATAAATGTTTATAGAGTGTAGACCAGCGTTTCTCAACCTTGGCAACTTTAAGATGTGTGGACTTCAACTCCCAGGATTCCCC